GCCGACGACCCGTTGGGCTGTTCGAGGTCGGAGCAGCGGAGAGGAGCCGGAGGATGTCCTGCGATTCCTCCGGTGCCAAACGGTTCACCCCATGATGGTTTTGATCCCACACCGGGGAGAGGAGCAGAAGGCAGCATGGCAAGGCCTAAGAGAACGACGATCAGTTTGTAGAGTTGGTGGTGAACCAGAGCCGATCAGTTTTGCCTTCTTGAGTGTCATCAACCCGTCGGGATTGGAGAGTACACTGACACCTTCTGTTCCAGCTACATGTGGGTATGGCTGTATGAGCAGGAAAGGCCACCCAAAACCACTGCAAGTCTTAGTTGCAGGTGGATTGAGCACCAGAGTTGGTGTGGAATCCGTTTCTGCATTCGGGGCCCTACGTAGATGGACCAACTCATCAAACCCCTGAGCCACTAACTCTCACAAACCCCTTACCCCCAAAGTTCAATGTTGAATGCAGTTTCCTGCAGTTTAGGTCATCAGGCTTTGATTTGTTTCGTCCATTCGCCTCGTCCATTCGCCCAAACACTCTGGAAGGCGCGCTAGCATTAAGTTTTCGGGTGGCAGAAGTCAAGGTGGCTTGAAGGCTTAAATAGACTCAAGTACGAGGATTTGTACAACACACCAATTGCATGGGAAGGGCAAAAGAGGGTGTTCCCTCTTTGAGAAACCAATGCGTGCATCATGTGCCATCCCCCTTGAACATGTTTTCTAAGGTGCACCTGTGCACCTTTTTCGCCACCACAGCACGGCCAAAGAGAGTCCCAAAAGAACTGAATCCAGAGACGAAGCGTCCGCTGCCACCACCAAAATGATGTTACTGATGGCATTCAGCACCAACACCAAGAGTGTCACCCCTGGCCAGCACGGACGCCCAGCAGCACGGACGGCTGGTTGTGAGCGAGAAAACCTTGCAACCACCCGGCTCGACAAATGATGGTTCTTCCACACCCACCCCGGGTGTGTCTGTGCCATCTATTTTAGAGAGTCGAAGCCAATATATTCAATATGATCTCCGCTTCTAGTGACCGCGCAGCACTGGGCCTAGGGAGGCAGCCATCGAGGCACCGGCCGCGGCCCAGGGAAGGCTCAGGGCTCCGGAGCCTAAGCCTCAAACGAGTCTGGCGAGACCAAAAGCGCCACGCAACGGTCGTGGCGGTGCATGGCGATGAATGTCCGAGTCCAGAACAAGTGAGGCAAAGCCCAAAAAGTCGGGAAAAAGCTTTCAAGTGTGCCTGGACTGTCGAAGCCTCATGTCGGCCCATCATTCGGCGGCCCCCTCAGTGTAGCCGGGAAGCCCCACACTTGGTCGGTCTTGTGCTTATGTCCCAAACCCCGCCCTCGTGGCGGGTCATCCCACGCACCTCATCGCCGTCCGGTCCATCCCAGCGGCTCGCATTCACGAGATTCATGGTCAACGCCTCGGCGCTTCGGTGGTCGAGCGATGCCCTGAACGCGCCACCAGGTGTCCCGCTGCCGAAGCGAGCCATCCGATGCGGATGCCCCTGGGCATGTTGGGGGGGGAAAGCATCCTTCCTTCCTTCCTTCCTCCAAGAGAAACGTGCTGTTCAAGAGGAAATCCTTACCTTTGGCCACCGGATCAAGAGACATGTGCACCCAAGAAGTTCCAATATGGCAAATCAAGATCAACTTTACATACAAAGATATGGTGGGTATATGATTTTGGGAAAACATCCGCTTGCTTTTTTCTTGCTTTGGGCTTGGGGGGGGAAGCTAGATTAGCATCACATGCTCAAACTCACAAATTTCTACAAGGCACGATTGCAGAGACGCTCCCGACGTCTTTGGTCAGCAAGGGCTCTTCGAGCCCCGCATCTCCTGACCGCGGAGTGACGAAGCTCATCTGACTGGTGAAAGACAGGAGCAAAGGACGCTACTAGGGGCAAAGGGCCATCGCTACGAACGGAGCAAAGGACGCTACGAACGGGGCTCCTGGCCTTACTACGAACGGAACCTTCGGACCCACGAAGCTCTCAGACAGGGAGTTGGGATGACTTGGGGTCAGATCGATCGATCGTCCTGGCTTGCACAGAACAAAGGGCTCGATCGATCGTTCCTCCGTCCTCACGGCCCTTTCAAGCGATGGTCCAAGTGGTTTTGCGTCTTCGCCCTTTGGAGAGCACTCGGGGTGTGCTCGGCTTCAGATCCCAGTCCCGGTCCACGACCAAAGCGCTTCTCGATGCGACAGAGACCGAAGCCACCGACACTCGATGCGACATGGTCTGCACACGAAGTGTGCCACCCTTTTGGGGTGAGTTGGTTTGGGCAATCCCGTTTTCATCCAACTCGAAGTCATGCAGCGGATCAACTTCTTCACGCGTGCCGCGTAACAGACATCTTGGACAAACTCGCCTGCTCTCCTCGGCTTACTTGACCTCGTGTTTGGTGGCCGATCACATGGCAAAATGAAACCACCTTCCTTTGTGAGCTCCTAGTAACGTCCTTGCTCCTAGTAGTAAGGGCAGGAGCCCCGTTCGTAGCGTCCTTGCTCCGTTCGTCGCGATGCCCTTTGTTCCGTTCGTACTGTTTTCTGACCATTCAGAACTCTCCTGGTCTCCCCCATCTCTCACTTGTTCCCACTCTTCTCTTCTCGTCTCTACTTACGCGTCTCTTCCTCGTGAAAACACCAGAGATCGACCGACCGGCCACTTGAGATCGACCGACCGGCACGGTCTGCCGTTGGACGGTATTGGTTCCATCAAAGCGTTTCCCCCGGAGAACAAGAAGGGTAAAACGCCAAGTCGGATTCGTGTAGGCTCTTGATGACCAGGAACCGCCCAACCGGCATGGATGGTAAAGCCTCTTCATGCGTCTGAGTACGGTTCAAATAGATCGTCAAAAGTCTGAAGTTACGGTTCACCTTTCTTGTTGGGGATGTGGCTCAAAAGCTAAACACTAAAAGGTACCATGATTACAACCTCAATGGCCTTTTTGTTCCTCTAACCACTGGGGTTGTAGGGTGCCTGATGTTCAGCCACATGCCCAGCTGTGTTCCTGTCCTGATCGCGACAGAGGTGATGCTTCCTGGCAGGAACAGAAGCTTCGGATGTGTCAATTTTTGGGGGGTCACATCCAGAAATCAGTGCACAGAGTAATACCAAATTGATGGTCTGTAAGTTTATAACTCCAAATCTGGTGGCTACTTGCCAAGACTTAGCGGTCTGCTGTTTGCAAATAAATATAGGATGATATGGGTCATATAGGTGTGTAATTGCAATTGATTTCACGGCCTCTTTCTGAGGTTGTACTCTTTGAACAGGTGTATCCACCTCCATGTCCAAGTTTCATCTCCCCTCGTCCGATTTCGGGGTGGAATTGGACCAATTGACCTCATCACGCTTCCATTGACCTCATGCTTTCACGCTTCCCGTCGCTTCCATTACCGGCGTTTCGGCCCCTCGACTCTTGGTCTCCTCGGTGAGAACCATCACGAAACCCCCCTCGGTACCTGGAGAAATCGGGAGGGCTGGAGAGAGTCAGCGAGTCGGTGGTCTTTTTGCGCGATTCGACGTGTAACACATCTTCACGCGAATCGCGATGGGCGTCTCTTAATTCAGGGCGAAGGCATGGAAGATCGAGACGATGGAAGGGAAGGCGGAGAAGGCTCGAACTAGACGCCCCCGAAGAAGGAACTCGAACGAACGATCCAGCGAAGTCCGACGGGAAGATGGTTGGTCTCCAAATGGGCGGGGGCGAAGTCCTGCGGCGAGACATGATGGAATTGCGTTGGTTTGCGTTGTCTGTGTCTTCCAGGGGCGACCGGCTTTTGGGGAGGTCTCCCTATATCAATAAGTTTCTGTATGTTCTATTTACATAGTATATTCTTTTCTCTCTTGGTGTTTATATAGAATGTCCCAGCTAGGTATTCAATCAATGCGTATGTATTATCAACCCATTCTGTTTTAATTTAATACACACCCATTCTGGCCCATTCTGCATATCGGACACGCCCTTTCAGCCACCGGGCCGCCGCGGCACCGTGGATTGAAGACGACCCAAGGGACCCGGCGGGCCCCCACAGGCTTTAGGGCACCGCGTGTCCCGGAGAATGCAGCTTTCAAGTTTGAACTCTTCATTGGGAATATGATGGAATATGAATATGGATCAATCTGGTCTGGCCATGTCTGGCCTCATTTGAATCTGGTATGGACCGTATGGATGAATTTTCGAGTCTGGTTCGTGTGGCCATGGATGATCGAAACACCGGCCCCCAGGACACGTGATTCCGGCGCCATCGAAGCGGATGGCGCAGGTATCGCTTTTGGTCAACGCACGAGAGAAGTCGAGTCAAGAAAGCAAGTTAAACTGGGCACCTGGCTGACTCCTAAACACACCTGCCATGTTTGAAGGAGTGTAAACACTACAGCAGTAATTAATTCAAAACAATACAAATCAGAGAAAGTGGGAACCTTCTCGTCAGGCTTTACAGCAGTTTGTTTGGATGCGAAAAGGAAGTGTCACATGGTCTGTGGATATTCCATGGATTTCAACTGCCCCAAGTCAAGTATACTGCGGCTTCTTCCCAGTGCTTTTTCACATCTTTTCATAACGACTGCAAGGACATCTCCATGTGTCACCCCCAAACCCCGGGAGAAACGAGGTGTTTTATCTTGCATGGGGAGTGCCAGAAGAGGCCATCAACATCACTCTGTTCATTTCTGGACCTGGAAGAAGCTTGAGCCGAACGGAAGGACATATCACTGCACGAGCGGAAGTTTGTGCACAGGACGAAGCACACAGCTCGATGTCACAAGTCTCAACAAGGACTTGGCTTCCTGAAATGAGCCTCACGACAGGTCCAATCCCAGTCGTTTCAGTGTCTAGAAGATTTACCACACTTTTCTCAACCTTTCTTGCCCTATGCAGGACATATTGCTTGCGCCCTGCTGCAAAACTAACCCGCCTGGCCTTCACCCTAGGTAATCCCAAGAAGGGTGCAAAGCCAGACCCGCCCGCTCCCACTGAGGCCGCCAAACACGGCTCTTCTCGTGGTCATAGACCGTGTAATACTTCCTCAACAAACGAATCAGTGCCATTCAGTGCCATTCGTAACAGGGTTTCCCCCTGGAACCACACGAGACAACAACCCGGATGTTCACCCACCTGAGGGAAAGCATCAATGCGTTTCTAGCTCAAGGGAGCTCTTGAGCTGATTCCGTGGAAAATGGCGCAGCGGCATGAACCTGTTTTCAAGCCAGGGACACGTCTTCGAGCGATATCTACACGTCCCAAGCAAAGGCCAAGCAAGCATAGACAGTATAGCCTCCCAGCCCGGCGAAATGGGCGCAGCCCAGCCAAGCATCTGCAAGAACGGAATGCCGAACACGAAGAGCGGCCCCTGCGTGTTCGACATGGAACGCTCGCTTCGGTCGTGGCGGGAAGTCCTGGCGGGGGGTCCCAACCGCTGCTTCCCCTAGAGGCGTCTGAGGCGTCTCTCGCGGGTCGCGTACAGCAAGATGATGTTCACCGATAAAAAGATCTTGCAAACTACAGTCCAGTCACAAGAGGGTGGTTTTTGGTCCCCAAGTAAGTGGATCATGGGCACCCTGACTTCTAAGTTCGGCACCCCAGATCCTGACTGCTGGCTTCATTGATCTACATTGCTCACTCTCCCTTTCAACTTTCACAGCATAGTGGTCTGTCTTTAGCACTTCCTGCAGGTGCCAACTTGCGCTCCACCGGCAAGGTATACCACGGGTGCCGACGGCTGACTCTCTACTTAAGATCTGTGAAAATGAGTTCTCACGTTCGCTTCAAACACTGGGAGCTATCGTTTCAACATGTTTCTGGCCGATCGACATCCCAATCACATCCCAAAAAACGGCAAACGATGCCCAAACACACGTGACATGCCCAACCGGTGCATCCAAGGATGCCCCACACCGGTGCCATTCGGCCTTTGGGGGCGGCACGTCGAGGTTCATGAGCGACAGGTTGCAGGTGCCCATGCCGATCTCGGTGGAGGGCACGGTCGAAAGCTGGGAGAACACGGTCGGAGGGCGAGGCCTGGCCTGGGGGGGGGGCGAGAGGAAGAGTAGATTTAAGAAAAGTATATAGATGGTGTGACATGACCCAGGAATTTCTGCGATTCGAAAACTCTGAGATTTGGATTCGGTGCAGGAGTCAGGTGCTTCTGAGCAGCTCAGAACAAGACTCAAGACCTCATCCGACCCCCCAAGCTGGCAGCGCTTCGCTGCCTTCACAAGCCCCAGTCAGCCCCAGTGACTCATTCGGTCACCCGCTGTCACCCAGGTCTTTGGTCCGCCCAGCAAAATGCAGAGGCGCGACCCATTGGTCTCGCTTCGTCCTGCCCAAGCCTCGCCCTGCCGCCCTGCAACACTGCCACCCTGCGCAGGCCGCGCCTCAGAGGTGTATTCCCGAGGCGACAAGCTCAAGATCTTGGGGTTGCCATCTGGTCCACCTGGGCGATCGAGGGTCCACCCGCAGGTCGACGCCAAGTCAGGTCGATCGTCAGGGTCGATTCAGGTCGAGTCCAGACAGGTCGATCGTCAGGTCAAGACAGGTGGAGATCACTGCAGACTGCTTGGATGAAACAGATCTGCGCCCCAAACAGGTCGCCACAAAAAGGATCTCTTATACATGACGTTTTCGAAAAAGGCGACGCCTCATCCCAGCTCCAGACTCCAGCTCCGAAGGCGGCCAGTCGAAGGGTCCCAAAAGGTGACGGCTCGCCACGGCGGAGCGGTTCACCCCTTCGCCACAGCAAACCCAACCAGCAGTCGCATGTGGTGCTATCCATGGAGGTAGTCGGGGTGCCCGAACGTCACATCCACTCACGTAGTAAGGGGACGTTTCACACCACCCCGATCTTGCGACTTCTGGAAAGAGTTCATTTTGGGGGTCCGCCACACCGGAACTCCAGTCGATCTTGAAGACTTCGATTGGTGAGCAAGGCACCCCTACTTCAATGAGTGACCTCATCTATTTCCTTGGCTTTGGTAGCTGGGAATCCTATACAGATTCCCACCATGGCCCCCCAAGCCCCGTCGTCTCAACTGGCCCAAGCCACGAACCGCGAAACCCAACTTTGGAAGCGAGTCCTGCGCAGAAAGAGAAAGCGGCACGGATGCCGCGCCAGCCGTGCATATAGGCCAAAGCGATACGAATCGACGAAGAAATGTGCTGTTGAAAGGAAGAAAATCAGAACCCCCCCCAAAGATCGACGAAAATTCAAACTGGTGTCCTACACCATGTTTAGGGAAGTTGGAACATGAGTTATCGTCCATCTTTTCTGGGATGCGAGTCAGACTGCCGTGCCTTCTCAAGCAGGTCGACCGAGGCGCGTCGGTGTTTGTCCCGCGGCTGGTCCGTGAGGGGAAGGGATGCGCGACGGGCGCCACTGGCCGTGGTCTCGCGGCCGGTGGCACAAGGTCGCGTGTCGGAGTTCTGCAAGTCAGACTTCAGGCTGGGGTTTGCTGGGGTGAAGCTCGGCAGAAGTGGAGAACATCTTCCATGAAGCAGCATGTGGCTGATTCATCCCGCCCAGACATTTCTGGGGATGGTGCAAGTCTGGCCACCCTCTTTTTTCAACTGCCTCACACAGAAAAACCAATGCCAAATCACTCCCAGATCCCTCCCAGATCTGCTTTCGCACGATCGGATGGCTCTTCCCCCATGTTCGACCCCCCATGCGCCACCACCCGCTGTCCACCCGCCCGCGGTCCACGTTGGAGCAATCCCCCAGACTCAAAAGCCTTGGCCCGGTGTCTCGGACCGAGCCACTCGAAGTGGTGAACTTCACGGTCTGTCTCCCATGTTTAGGTCTCCACTCCACCCCTGAAACCATCGCAACCAAACCCCCCTCGGACAACCCAGAACCCGGGTCGCAACCGGCTGATGTCCTTCCGTCCGCCTCAAGGAACACCTTCCTTTGCGGAGGACCTCTCCTGATCATCATGGATCGATCCCCTGTTCGTAAAGGAAAGGATCCACATCCCAAAAAAGGCCCCGGCGTTCAGGGACCGAGGTGTAATTGATGTTTCTCCTCTCCCCAAGCACCAACCTGGCTTACCATCGTTCCTTCGGGGAATCAACAAGAAAAAACATACCATCCATGGGGGTGGTTAATGGACACCCCTTAGCTACAAATAGACACCCCTTGGAGGGTCCTGGTTGTTTACTTCTCGTTTTCCCATGGCTCAAAACCCCCCCTCCGAGCGCCCCCGGCTCTTCCAGCTTTCCAACCACGCTCGAGGGGCCTGTCACCAGGTCGGTGGGGCCATTTAAAGCAAAGTTCGACCCTTTTGGCGGGTCTGCATTTTCTGATTAATAGGGAGCTTCTCCCCCAAATAAATCATGGGATGTTCATTAAAGTGTTGGTTTCTCGGGTTTGGGAGGCATCCTAGTTCAACTCACCCTTATGTAGAAAAGGCCAAATTCAGGGAGAACCACAGTGAAATCTTCTTGCATTTGCATGTCGGGAAACCGAATAGTAAGCAAAGGATGAAATGGGGGTGTTTCTTGTGAGGTCCCCAAGGATACGAAAAGAAACGAACAGCACCGCACCATGCCGCAGGTCGGTCTCGGTCTCCCCAGACCCCGGAGCAAGCGAACGGCGAAGCTGTGGACGTCAAGAACCACTCTGACAAGCTGCCAAAACCAACCAAAAGCCCAGCGTGTTTTCTCCTCAGACCAAGCGGGTGTTCGTCCCTCTAAGGACGGTCAATGGCGGCCCAGGGGGGTTCGGAGCCATGCTCGCAGAATCCACCGGTCCAACAAGAACGGCGAACGTACAAGACCAGTCGGTCAGCGATGGTTTCTGTATCAGCTCAGATCGTTTTGAATGCTTTAGATCGTTTTGAAGACCGATCTCATCCACTCTGCCCCTCACACATTTGGATCTCCCCGGTCGCGATCCCACCTGCCAGTTCAGAGGTGCCGGTGTCAACTGCCACGCGGCAGCCCTTGCACAGGTTCCTGGACGAGGTCGGTGGGCACTGTTACTGGTGGACTAACAAGACAGACCAGAGCCCCCGGTGCTGTCGGGGTGCTTCAGGAAGTGGAACATTGGCACCACCAATTGTCCTCTACAAGCGGGGTCTGCCCAGCCTCCATGATTGTTTGAGGGAGGGTACCCCTTAACCTCTAAGAAGCTTTAATTAGACAACCCAAGCCGGAAGCCCTGGAAGTTGTCCCTTCATGTCAGCTACAAGTCTGGGAGTTGTCCCTGAGTGGGAAATCCTGTGCATTTCTCGGGTCTAAGAGGAATCATAGGTTCATGCCAACCCCCCAAAAAAATCGGAAGTTCGTTTCTGCAGTACCCTAGCGATACCGGGACCAGCTTTGGCAAACTGTTCTTCCTCCTCGCCACCCTTCGCCGCGGTATTTGCCCAGTCGCTGAGGTTTCTTATCGAAATAGATGTCCTCAATCTCCACCTCTTTTCCACATGCCACAGCAGCTGCGGGTTTTGCACAGCTAGATGAACCGGGATTCTCAAATCTGGCTGAACGTTCTTGGGCAATTTAAGGATGTCCATGGCCTTCCTTACCTTTTGTGGCTCTCAGATTCTCGTGGGACTTCTATCAATTGCTGACGTGGGATCGCATGTCAAACAGGATGCTTGAAGTTCACGAGGTTGGAACAAGAACATGAGCATCGCTTGGCAGCTGTCAAACTTCTGACTCACAACACCTGCAACTGCATCAGGGAACGTGACAGCAATGCAAAATAAGTCTTTATCGCCAAGATGCTGTCTTGTCTATTCTCGTATTCAACCCGAACATATTCCAAGATGTACAAGAATAACCAACGTTAGTCTACACAAGTTCAACCGGAATTGTGAAATGTTGCCCCTGGCGGGGGACGCGGGGCAACATGGGAAGACCCATTTTTTGGCGGGGCCGGGCCAGTCACTTGAAGCAGACCCCTTGGTTTTTGCTTGTTTGGAACCTGCTTGGGAACTGAACGGACTTAGCAACAGACATGTTCATCCTACAGCTTAGCCATCTTCTTTGCAAGACAAAGAATCCAGAGAGGCATCCCCTTCTACTTCCAATCTTCCCTCTGCTTCCATGTGAAGACAGATGCGCTGCGCTGGAACCCCTGTTCCTTTCGGCTCGGCCTTCCCTTCCCTGTTCCGGCCTCCCAGTATCCAGCGTTCCCGGACACCGGAACCCAGTAGAGCTCAGAGGCCATGTGTTCCTGCCGTTCCCGTTCCGCCCGTTCCGCGGTCCAGGACCTAAAAGGGACAAAGGCGAAAACCGGACTAAGCTGCTTGGACCGATCCTTCTCTGAGTTGCTGTCCATTTGTGGAGGTCGACTTCCGAGCAGAAACTGGGTTAGTGCGTTTGTTGGTGTTTGATGTAGAATAGAGTGGTATAGTATAGTGAGCCAATTGGCATCAACAAGTGACAATCAGAGAATTTGCATGCTGAATAATCAATAATGATCAATTATCAATCAGTAATTCATTTCCGGACTATATAAGAGTCTGCATCCAGAAGCCTGTTACCTCATGACAACCTTGTCAACAATAACACATCCAATATTGTTCTATGAAGGCAATTCCAGGGGTGATGAGTCTAGTATAATCATGAATCCCGAAAGAAAGAGAGCACAAGAAGGTGATCGAACGCGTTCCTATCCAATTGATAAACAGCAGCAGCTATATGTTGCAGTGATTATGCATATGTACACAACTAAGCTGCCGATGAAACCTCCTTCGCAAAGTGCCTTGGATTCGGGCTCCGGGCCTCCACTTGCTAAAGAACCTTTAAAGAGATTGACCAAAGTTCACCGCCTTGGTAGATCGACCAGTCTCAAAATCCACTGACCCCTCTCCTTCCCACAGCCACCGAAGCGTCTTCGCGTCTTCGCGTCCGAGGGAGAAAAAAAAGGAAAGGAAGAGCGGCGGGGACGCCGGCCCCACCCCGCCAAAAGAAGAACGCAAGAACGCCCTCGTCGTTTGAGGTGAAAAAAGGAGAACGCTCAAGACCGAAGGGAGGTCTCTTCGGCTCCCCCAAAGTGACCGCCGAAAAAAGACATCGAACAAGCGTAGCGTCAACAAAACGCCCAAGCCGAGCTCCTGCTTCATGTCGCCAAAGGTGATCTCGGACTTCTCCTGCTCCGAGTCGGAGAGGAAGACCGAGAAGATGGGCTTCCTGGCCGAGTCCAGAGATGTGAAGGACCTGGCAGGTCTTGGGTCCCAAAGGTCCTCCCTGTTTGGAGGCCTTGATTTAGCCTTATATATAGCCAATACCTTAGTTACGTTTGAAAAAGGCCCTGATTGAGCCTTATTTGAGACCCCAAAGTAAACCTCCAAATTCCTGTTGGTGGCGAAAGTACCGCCTTTCCTGCTTCACAGCTCGGGCTGACCGGGCTTCTGTTTTCCCCGCCTCTGCGCCGCGTGGACCCGACGGGTGACGCCCGCCTCAAGACTCCCGACTGCTGCAGCAAGTTCATCACCGAGAACTCGTTGGACTGCGGAGAGGTCGGGGCAGGCTCCGAGGGGAGGCTTCTCACGACACGAGGTGACGGGCGACGGTCCGTGGTCCGTGTGTTGGGTCGTTGGTTGATCCTCGGATGGGTGAATGTCAACAGACGATTCAACATGAGCCGCGACTCATGTTGAAGTCGGGTTTGATCCAAAAGAACTCTTTGGAAAGAGGAAACAGAACTCTATTTATATATATATATACCTGGACCCTCCAAAGTACCTTAGAAAATGGGACATGACCCCTTAAAGACAGGTACTTGTACCCATTTTCCGAGGTACTTTGAGACTCCAGGTATATATAATTCGCCATGCCCACATGCCTGGTGTTCGACCCAACACTCGCCACTTCCTGCAAGATCACTCAGGACACTCGTGACACTCTCCCCACCGTCGCCTGAGCCATGCTATCCAGGGCGAGCCCCAAGACGCCATCAAAAGAAAAGCTCGCGAAGGGAGTATAGCTCTCTTCCTGGGCTGGGAAAGAGCTGGCTCCAGCTAGAGTCAGGAACCAATTGGAGTCGTCAATCCAACCAAAACCAATGGTTCCTCAGGCTGGGAGAGAGCCAGCGAGCCTAAGGAAGCGAATCGCTTGGTGAAAAGAACCGCCTTGAAACCGCCTGGAGCACATCCTCCGCATGGGTCTCCCTTTTGCGGTGGTGCAGCAGATGAAAGCTGCCGGGTCACCACGTCTGCAGCGCAATTGGACTTTCCACTCGCCATGGGGGTGTTCAAACAGGTGCCAGAAAACGGGAACATCATGAAACGTCACCCCAAAAAGGGCCTGCCGGCCTGAGAAATAGGGTAGACACTCTATCTAAAAAGAAAAGAAGAAGTGGAAGTGGTGGAAGTGGATGGCATGGCCTGTCGTTCGAGCATGTTCCTCTACAAACAGGAAGTGAACTCCACTTCCATCATGCTGTTGATGCTTTTGGAGAGGGTTTGGAAAAGTACACCTCCACAAGATATCATTCGTCGATTCCAATGCACCAAGCACGTCAAGACGTCCTCAACCCAGCACGTCGTCCCCGGGTCGCTGTTGCTGCGGGTCGGCGGGTCGGACGTCACGTCTGGTCCGAGGACCGTCTGCGTGGAGGAGAAGCCAGAGATCAAGGTCTCCCTATCAATCCAAAATACCGAGCTTGGTGTGTAGTTTCGATCCTATCCACCTTGGTGTGTAGTTTTGATCCTGTCCACCTTGGGGGATCCGTTCCATTCACCGGTCATTGCGGATCTTGCTGGGTCCAATGGTCATTGCGGAACCCACTGCGTGCGATTTGTTTTGTTCTCGTCGCTTGCAGTCTGGTGCAGCCGGTGCCTGCGAAGTCTGGCCTGGCTTGTTCTGATTTCGTCTTGATGCTTCTACATCTGTTCAACCATTCTGGGCCGTTTTGGGGTCCTATAAAGAATCCAGATCACCCAGCAACATGCACCCTTCGTTTCTTCACGCCAAAAAGGGGCCGTTGCTTTCCACGACGGTCGGCGAACTCTCTGAGCCGCCCCCACCGTGGAGGAAATGAAGTTGCCCTTCGAGCAGGCGGAACCAATCTGGGCGGAGCGCATGCCGCAGAGGAACACACCGGAACGTCGACCGCACTGCCACCACACAACCTCCGGCTGAGTTCTTGATGGACGGAACGTTTCACAAGTGAAAGACAAGCTGCAAGAGATTTTCTACGAATTGGTCGTGCCCAAAAAAAAGATGTTGCTGCTGCTTCCAAAAAAATGTGCTTCTACGTTAATAAGTAATGAGTGATTGTACCAGCACAAACCCCGAACAGTTTCAGCGTCAGTTCCTTGAATTCCAATGTCGGTGGAAACGTCTGCAATCATATTCCTACAGCCTCCAGCTGTTTGAGAGCAGAATGTAAACAAAACACCACTTTTTGCGGAATGCGATCATATTCAAAAGGGACACGCTGCATCACCTGTTGCATTCATAGCCACAAAAACAAGCCCGGACCAGGCGGTAGAGACAGGGAAACTTCGGGTGACGGGGCAGGACACAGCCACAGCGACGACGGTGGCGGGTCAGAAGGGCCGTCAACCTATCAGGGTTTGGACATGCCAGGTGCCATGACCCAGAGCCATGTGTGATGTGGTTTTCATCTCGGCTACTCGCATCAGCTCCAGACTTCTCAACAAAAGACAGCTCCATTTTGTGTTTGAAGTTTGAACCCTATATGTACCCAAAGAAGGTAGTCAATGGTCTTTGTGTACTTTGCCATTCGGGCCGTACATTTGGCCACACGCTATGACAACACCGATCCGGTGCTTCCTGGTCTGAACCGGCCCACTGTGCATTTGGCAATGACCATGCCACGTCATATATTATATATTTGCATATTAATATGCTGCAGCCACAATACATTAATTGTGATTCAAGCATCTTTTGGCTCTGGAAATGCTGCAAGTCACTGTCTTGCTGCTTGGTGCTTTCTGGCCAGACCGGCGTTGCGCCAGCACGCCACGTGGACCCGAACCGCCGAGCCGAGCGCGGAGCTTTCCGGGCGCCGGGCACAAATGTCGTCTTGAAAGCACTGACCAGTGATTTTGCCAGTGCCAAAGGTAATGGTAATCTCGTCCTGTGACTCGAACTTGAGAGAATGAGGGGGTCCTATATACGGTATAGGAGTGGAGGGATGCGGAAAAGTCCGTGTTGTTTGGCTTGACGCGAGCCGAATCACACAGAAATTCACCGTACCCAACATTACATTACATCATTACATGGCAGCAAGATATAGCAAGATCATATTTGGCTGACTTCGGGAAAACCAGGACGGCGGTGTGAATCTCGGGGGTGAATCCGTTTGGTGGATAGAAGCATGCTGGTTCATCTAAAACCCCGCGATGTGCATGATAGCCAATTATCATCCGCTTATAGATCTCTCATGCATCGAGAAACTGCTCTCAGTTCGCCCATGCTTGGGATGTCATTGATGGCCCTTGTCTCAATGCTCTGTGGCACCGCTTCAGTAGGACCTGCAAAAGACTGTGAGTCAAATTCGGCTTTCTTTTGCAGACAAGCTATCACTCTTTGCCAAGAGGCCAACTATCAACGAGTGCCACTTCACTTGCACAACACAAATCTGCGCTGATGACTCCATGCATGACTCGACCGAGTAGTAAACACACACGACGCTGGAATTGCCACGCGTGTGTGTGGTGTGTCAAACTCTCCAAGGCGACCAGGCGAGAACGGAGAGTCTCTCCTGCTCCAAGCCGTAACCTACTTTGCTGCCATCGCAGTTCACGCTCTGAATCTGCCAGGACCGAGCTCGTGGGACCGGCGCAGAAGGCGACGTGACGCGATGCGACGCCCCGTCCGATGGGCCAAAAGACGGGGGATGACGCAGGCCCTACACATGCTCTTGGACAAGGGCAGCATGTCCTTCAACCCGGAACCCCAAAAATCTTCACCGTAGAGCAGACGCAGGCCTTGTGGGCCTTAGTGCTTACGGAGCTTTGCTGTATTTGAAGGCTAGATTGATTTGGCCAGCCACTTGCTGGTGCCAAGGTTTGGTTAACCAAACGAAAGACTTGTTTGGACGTTTTCTCCGTGCAAGGACCGGTTGGACATGAGATGTTCTGGCAAGCACATACACCGTAAGAAAAGACGTACACTCCGTCGCGTTCTGCGAAGAACTTCTGCTCAGAAAAGCTTGGGAAAAACAACAACACACCTAGAACCTGAATGACCTCTATTTTGGATCACCAACCACCCAAAATAAGGTCTTTTCCTTTCAAAGCGGAGGTCAAATGGGCTCTAGGCACTTATTATATAGATCATTTGATTGATCGAATGGTCCAAAAACAACCTCACCTCACCTCACTGGTCTTCATTTTTGAGACGAACCGGTCGAACAAGTCACCCGATGTCACCGCCTGCTTGCTCTTCCTGCACGTGCACGTGTCATGTCGTCGCACGTGTGGCAAGTTCGCACAGCTGCGTTGCAAACGGGGGAGACACCACGGAAATCCCACCAGACCCATCCAGTCCTTCTGAGAAATTAAGAAAGGGACAAAAACCCACCAGACTGGAAGGCGCCGTACTGGGTCGGCACCTGAAAAGGTCCACTTAACTGATCCTTTCCCTTCTGGCACTTGGGTCCGCACCGGGTCCGCACCCTGAAACAGGGAGCATTTGGGGATGGTCTAGCTGATCCCAGCTCCCCCCCGTTCTCTCGAAAAAAAACTCGGAGCAGCTTCCCCAGCCATGCTTCAGACCAAGTGGACTCGGGGGGGGGCGGGGGGTTTGATCCCATCCACGCCACCATGAGGACTCCAGGGAGTGTAGATGAGTGACTGGAAGGGTGTTTGACCCACAGATTCGTTGTTTCCCTCGAGTTTGCACCCGTGGTTCTCTGGGTGTTCTACCCGCGTCCGGCATCTTCGGATGGTGTGACGAGGATTTCCAGAATGTCACATCCCAGGACCTTCCGGGTGCCCTGGCTGGTTTCGCCCCAGCCCACCAAGGGACCTCCAGACAGGACCACCCCTTTTTCAGGTCCAGGTCCAAGCTTTGTTTGATCCATCGCAGGCCAAACATTTGGTGAAGGAACTCAGCTTTATCTGAACCAAGAGAGGTTAAGTGACCTGAACTAGGACCCTACTGCGGTACCTATGGGATAGTCTATAGGGTCCTTCAACCTCTGGAAGTTCGAGAACCGCGAGGAGCGAAGTCGCTCCCGGAACGAGGCGCGCCCTGTCCAGGGCGGGTGGCCGTTCCGATTGACCAAGCGGCCGTCCGATGCACAGGGCATCTCAGAAACCAGAAATGTGCACCTACAAAAAGAGAAAGAACTACAGAAGTACTCAAGGCCTTAATGATTGTCTGGCTTTGGAGAATACCAGAAAACCTCTAGCCTGCTTGTTGTGCTTATTGTTGCAGTATTAGGTTGGCTCAATTCCAACAATGGCACCCAGGTCAAATCTTGAATTGGAAAGTCACTCTTGAACGTAGCATGGTTCCCTCAACCACACTCACTTGATATCCATGTCCAACTACATGGTTCAAAAAACCCTGACGCCAATCCGTACCACCCAAAAATGAGCGTTGAACCTGCATGGTTGCACCTTTCCAACCAAATGTGCCATGACCAAAAAAATGGTAAAAAAGATTCCACCAAACACGTCTTTCAACACGTCGCTTTTCGAACACCCACGACGCGACGGACGCCGGACGCCCGGGACGCCCGGACTGGCGGTCGAAGCGGCGATGGCTGGCGCAGGCCTCGGCCAGAGTCACTGGTGCGACGCTGGATCCGAAGGTCTCCAGGTACCCAGTGCAGGTGAACCCAACCCTATTTAGGAACAAAAAGCTACTAGGGTGGAGGCCATCGCTACTAGTTCTCATTCCCTGTGCTAATGGGTGGACAAGGCCTTTGAACGACCTACACGGATCCCTGGGTCATGGCACCGGACGACCTACACGAGGTGAACCTGGTGTCAACGCTTCGCCACACCGCCTACGTCGAGTCTGAACTGCGCACAGCTAGCTATGGTGCCTCTTTGAGAGCCTTCCTTCGTTCCCCTCCTTGGAACTGGGTGAGCATTCCCCTCTAGTTCGCTACTATGTCCCGCTGAAAACGATCCCATGGAACCTGAAAACCACAGGTGTGTAAAGGAAAGCAGTCTTTCAGGGTGCCATTCCCAGGGTCAATGCTGCTGAGGAGGCCTCCCTTAGGAACAACATCAACAGTGCTGTGTTGAAATGAAATCTTGAGAGAAGTCGTCGACAATCTTGTAGGGCACTCTTGTGGGACACTCTTGTGAAACACTTTTGCAAGACACTCTTGTGAGACACTCTGGTGGGACACTCTTGTAGGGTTTAGGGCACTCTTGTGAGACACCCTTTTGGAAGACACTAACTGACTTAGCTTTCGGGAGTGTGTCCCCTGTCCATAAGGTCATGTCGGCTGTATTGGGCCGTGTCAACACGCCACACCTCCTGCTTGTGGCTCGTCTTCACTAACCCCTCAGCCTTCAACAGCCTTCCCACGATGCAATTCTTCAAACTCGACAAAGATGGAAAGATAGTGGGAAACCTCCAAGCTCCAAAGTCAATACATCCCAACTGCCAGGTCTTGGCTTCCTCATTTCGGCCAGCCATTCGCAATCCGCCACAGCAAGGATCGCATGAGTGCTCCAAAAGACTCTCCTCACCCATCTTCACACTTCCCCCAAAAAAACTCCGTGGTACGAACTGAACTATTCACCGTTCGTAGCCACCATTGCCACAGTCCTGTTCCTCCCCAAAAGGGACCATCATCGGCGGCTCTCCCATCGGGCTTCGTCGCTCCTCGGCTCCCGCACGTCGCTGGTGCAATCGCGGCCGGGCACCTCGGGCGGACGGAGGGACCGGCGTCGGTCGACGCGGTGCGTTGCGAGTCGTTTCACAGAGGGTACCGTGCTGAAGCAGTGCGGCGTTTGGCCTTGGGCTACCGTGCTGAAGCACGAAAGGAAGAGACGGAGAGAGGGTTTTTTGGGGTTGGAACTGGCAGCAAATGGCCAGCTCCCAAAAAAGGAACCTCTAAGAGGACTGGCATGCGAGCTGATAGGATCCACCATTTCTCCTCGATTCCTGTTCTCTCCAACTGGAGCCCGGACGATCAAATTGCCACTGCCCGTGTCAAAGACCACCGTGAAATTCTGGACGGACGGCCCGTGACGGACGGCCGGCGGGGTTTCGGGTGGTCCCGGGTTCCGGGTGTAGGCACCGCGGTGCCTCTCTCTCTACCTTCTCACGAAGGTGTAGGTACGAGTTTCTGTGTAGTGTATCTATAGGCACCGCTGGTCACCCCAGGGTTTCCGTGGGGGGTTCCCGGCCCCGCAATCTTCACTGGACGCCCGAAGAGCTGACACCACCGTCGTACGCAGTGCGTCGTCCCGGCTCCCCTTCGAGTGCAGAAGCGGTGAACGACGATGGGCCGGAAGCGAAAGTCATCAGAAATATGGCACTGATGGAGAACAGGAGTTCCTGGTCGATGCCAGGTAACATATATACCTATTGGTTCTTCATTTGGGGGTGTCCCCTCTATTAATCAACCCACCAATAGTCAAACGCCAAAGGCCATCTATGTTTGCACTGGCTTAGTCCTGGAATGGAGAGGAATTCCTCCTGGTGCATACGTAGAAAAGTGCGAAATACTACTTATGGGTGTCAAGTCATCTACCAGGCTGACAGAGCAATCTTACAGAAGAGTCTCTTAGGTTCTGGAGGGGAAGATACGGTATACGCGTATACGTGTATATATATATATATATACAATTATATACATGTATGCGTCACATATACAAACAATACTTACTAACTCCTACCAAGGTTCTGGGAGTTGATTGACTCTGATGGACACCCCAAAAACTGAAAAAAAGGGTCCTGTTCCGGGCTCTGGGGCCAACCACAGCCCGGCAGCCAATTGACCAGGAACCCCCTTCGCCCAAGCAAACCAGAGATCGAAGGTGCCCCTATGTTGTTGCATGTCAAGGACGCCAAGATCCCATCGTCTGAGCGCATGTTTGTCCACCACGAAACGCCACGAAAGAAAGGCCACATCATCCCTAGGGCATAAAGAGAAAGAGTTCATGTTCATGCGCCGCGCGTGGTCCGACCTTCTGCCCTCCCCAACTCCCTTTCGTTCCGCTTCGCCTGCGGTGGGCGGCCCACCTCTCCGGCTCGCTCGCAGAACGGTGTGGACCCGGGTCGGACCCGGTCTCTCTGGGGTATCCAACTGGGACAGTCGGAAAGGAAAGGATCCTGAAAAAACCTCTGTTGGAAGGATTAATGAAGGAACATGGACAATTGATCCCCTTGTAGTGGGGAACATGGACAATTAATGAAACCTTCATCCTCTTAGAATGTTCATCAATTGTCCATGTTCCCCACTAGCAGGAATGAACCAGCCTTCCTTCCACCTCCCTCGCCCCCTTCTGCGACCCGCTGCCGCTCCTTCGACCGCGCGCTCGCCCCCAGGTGGCGCGCTCGCCGGCCGTCGCACGCCGGAAAGGCTCCGAAGACCGCTCCACCTGAATGGTACCGAAGTAAGCCATCTTGTGCTGCGTGGTCGCGCCGGTGCCCTCCTGCCGGGTCGATGGCGAGCACCGTTGCGGAGTGGGGACGAGTAGACCCCCCCATCTCAAGGACATCTTCGGGTGCCAGGTGAAACGATGTGAAACCATTGCAAGTGCGAACTGGGTTTCGTGGGAGGAAAAGCTGTGGGAATCTCGAGGTTTCGGAAAGGCTGCAGCTGGGAGAACTCGCTTCCCAGAACTCTGCACATCAAAAAGGCGGTCACTGGCGGTGAGTTGGACCTGGCCAGGACCACCCAAGAACACAAGTTCACCTCAAGGTGTCAAAGTGCTGTCGTTTTCCTAACGCGGGGTCCACAGAGGAGAGCTGAATTGAAACACGGGTGTTTGCGGGAAGAATATGGAAGAAGCGCTTCCACATGACAGGGGCTTCCGATGGATGAACCACCCGGTTGCAATCGTGAGGCCTGTTCCAGGCGGCCTGGGGAGTCTAGACCCATGGCTTCTTTGAGAAAGCTGCTATGACTCTATCATGTTCACCCCAAAATCTCTCCATCTCCCCACTACATCCAAGAAGACCACTCCAACCACCTCCGACCACCCACCCGCCTCTGCCTGCCTATGCTGCATCACGCGCTTCTCCAGCGCCAGGGACACGGAGCTCTGGGCCGAGGGGCGACCGAGGTCTCGGTGACACCGAAGCGAAGCGGCGACCACGCATGGCATGCGGTGTGCACCCCCTGCCCCCCCGCCTGCGTGGCGGTCGCGCCCGCATAAAGCAAAATGAGATTCGCTAAGCGAAACATTCTCCTTGGACGGTCAGGCATGAGGATTCGCAAACCACACTTCCTCTTCCTAGGCCATCGCTCTCAGGTTGGAGGCCATCACTAGTAGGTAGGAGGCCATCGCTTGAAGGTTGAGAGAGGGTACATATCTTCGCGTTCGCACTTCGGATGCGTCTCACCAAGCGATGAAACCGTCTCACGAAGCGGTGCGTCATTAGTGCGAACGCCAATCTGAAGTGTTCAACTCATGTCTAGGCTCCAAACGCTATCGAAATGAATGAAATACGGTGGAGGTTGATGGCTACAACCTCCACCCAGCTTGAACCAATGGCGTAAAGAAAGTGCCGATCCGGTGTCGCAACGAGACGGCAAGCGAAAAGAAGCATCTCAAGGAGGCCGACATGTCGTGGAAGGGGACTGAAAGTGGCGCTGTCCATTGCAAAAACAAACAAAAAAAGAACTCCCTTCATGACCCTTCACACCGCGAGAGTTGGCTCGCCAATCGCTGCACTGCTGCATCCCCAATCCCCCCGATTCGTCGGGGCCGGCAAGAGTATATCTCCTCCCCGGAAAAATGATGGTTACGGGGAGTTCACCTCCAGTGTGCAAGGGGTCATTGTTCACTTCCATGATTCCAGATGGAACATCTACGGAACCAGATGGACCCACACATGGCTCGGAACCGCCCTCTTGGCAGACCGGACCCAAACATGGCTGGGCACGCGGTCGACCAGTTCCAGAAAAGAGATGCATGGCAACCGTTTGCAAAGTTTTTCATCACAGCCTCTTCCAAAAAAGACAAACAATTACAGTAAACTAAAAAAGACGTTCGCCCGGGCCTAGCCTGCCAGAACTGGTGTTCGGCCCGGGTCCGATTTTCGTGGCGAACGAGCTCACATGGGAGGCCATGAGACATGTTCACGCGCATCCTCCGAAGAGACATGGACGGTGCTGCCGCGCATGGCCACCCCCAGACAGCCTGGTGCACCGATGGAGGTCTACCGATGCCGTGGGCCACGGATCGCTCGTTCGTCCGCACCGGCAGACCCTGGCAAAACAGCTCAACCGTCTGGTCACAAAACCACCTGTTCGGCCCCCCCACCACGGTGGAAGCGACGTCGAGAAGACCAGACGTCTTCTCCTTCACGACCCGGTCCGGTGGTCGGTCTGAGCCCGGCCGTCGACGTGGTGAACCAGTGGGACCAGCATGTCTTTTCATCGAATCCGCCAAAGACGAGAAGTCGAACGGACTCCCACAAGGCTTCATGGACATCCTCGATATCTGCAAAAAGCTGAGGAGCTACCAATAGAAACCCCAACCAGGGGGTCCTGGTGTGGATTTAGATGGATCGGTGTTATTTTTTCATGGGGAGGACCCCCTGCCGCCAAGGCGTAGACTGGCAGACTGGGCTATTGGACAAACCTTCCAGAGCTCCCCATTGGAATGCATCCATATGTTGGGTCTATCCTAGTACCAGGGCCCAGTGGATGATGGTGAGGCAGAAAGGCCTTGTTCAAAAAGTCGTGATTTGCAGGCCTTGCCGACTCTTTACAGGTCAGTTCGCACACACCCAACGGGCTTGTGTCTGTGTGATATGTATGGTTCCTCGCTCCCGGAGACGCGGTTCGCAGCGTTGGCATCGCCTCTTTTCAACCCGAATCGCCGATTGCGCCGGTTCCTTCGCGCCGGGTGCGCGATCGGCACCTGCGGTGTCCCAGGGGGTTCCACCAGTGGGTTCGGCTTTGGGGGGGCTCTTTCCAGATGAGCGGCTTAGGGTCCTAAGTCCTCTGAGCGCGCTCCACTCGGACGCTTCGGACGGTCCCTGCACTCCACTCGGAACCCGTGGCCCAGACGAGGGTGAGAGCTCCTCTGGTGGGTCGCTGGTTCTTCAGACTCTTCGGTGTGACGCGGGAGAGATGTTGCATTTGGATTCAGGAAATCAAGGGACGTGAAGACCAGACACCCTTTTTTTTGACCTGAATGACAATAGCTCGACATCGCCCAAAAAACCCTCGACAGACCCCTGGAACGAACAAGTCATCTTCGATCAGATCTGCCCTGGGAGAGCTTTGGATCCAAACCCTAATCTGCGAGGCCAGCCAGGCACCTACCAGCCAGGCCGGCCGGACCTGCCCTCCCTCTACATCAAATCATAAGACTGACATCTCTTAAACTTCCACAATGACTGGGGCAAAGACCTGCAGACCCCGGGCCTGATCTGCTTTGCCTGGAGAGCGATGCAAGGATGCGGAGATGGTGTACTTAGTTCATCAATAGAATAGGAACCCATCCCAATACATTACCATCTTGGATTGGAAGAAAAAAAGAACTAACCAATCCATAAAACCGTAGTCCTACGGGTTTTTTTCTCCCCCTCTCTTCCCCCTCTTCTATCTCGCCCATGACTCGATGAAACCCCCGGGCACGAGAACCAGTCCCACAAAGCTCCCCCGTGTCTCGACCGGAACCGGAGGCGTTCCTGGACGGAAGGGCTTCAAGCTGAGCCGGAGCCGGAGCCCAAGGGAGCTCGGTTTCTTGGACATGGACGAAGACAGAGACGTTTTCATATAGTCACATAGTCTATACTATGGTCCCCAAATAGATAGTGGGACGGTGACACCAAGACATTTTGCTGGGGATCTACTGTTCTTTCTACTTATGTAGAGGTCGTTTGTATATGGAGGTAAATATCCAAATCTCCATAATACCAATACTCTGCATGAATCTGGGCAGCTACTACACGTGCAGTTTTCATCACGTGGCAAGCCCCTTTTCTCGTGCACCCGGCTTTGGTTGCTCCTTTCAGCTAGTCATGTCACATACCTACAGCCCGAACTGCTCGATGGCATCCTTGCCAGTGTACAGCTCTGCGGAAATGATACCCAGCGCTGCAAACATGGCGAAGCGGCCGTTGTTGATCTCTCGCTCCTTAGTTGGTTGATAAATGTGTCTGGGGTCAAGAAAACACACATGAACAGTTCTTGGCAAGTGAATCTTTACAATCAAAGCGCAAATTTTTCCTGAGCATGCAGCATGCAGTTTAAGTTGCAAGAAAAGTTTGACTTGCAGAAATTCGAACAGAGAGGACAAAAAAATGGTTTGTCAAACAACGTATACCCAGAAGTGCAACTCGGTCTCCCTCATTTCTTGAGTGTACTGGTTGAATCCCACTGGGTCACCGAAGTTTCCAGGCTCCTTGTCGTCGCTCTCGGTCCAAAGGCCAAGCTCCAGCGCGCCAGACACCGCAAACAAAGCAATGAAGCCATAGCTCCCGGGTGGTGTGACAGCAGCGGCCAAGCCACTGGGCACGGACTCAAAGCCTGGGAACTTCACGTAGTGTTGCACCACTGCCCCAAGTGCAGCCATCATGGCAGCACGCCCATGCTTGATCTCGGCTGCCCGCAGGTTTCGGAAGCCAGCTTCGTCGCCCTTTTTGCAGAAACCGGCGGGGTCAAAGAAACCCAGTGGGGCCATAGCGCCAATCTGGGTGGATGGGTCGAATTCAGGACTTCCCTTGCCTGAAACACCTTTCTCCTTCAAAGATCCCACACCAGCCGAACCTGCCACTGCCGATCCTGTGGCCGTCGCTCCCTTGGCAGCAGCTGCTGCCTTGGCAGCAGCTGCTGCAGCAGCTGCCGCACTTGCGGGCTCCGCGCGCAAAGGGGAGGCGGTGTAGTTGGCCCAGTCACCCCAAGCGCTGCCAGTGAGTCCATCCTGACAAATGGACATTCTTTATTTGCATGTGATGTTCCAGGCGTGTGTGTGTGTAATGCGAACCTTTTCTCGATTCAACAAAGGCTTTAGTGCAATGTCGTGATGCAAACTGTCATGCGAAAAATGTTTCCCACTCCTTCTTGGTAGCGTGAGCGACTGAATTGCTACTTTGAGTTCACTCTGCCACTGTAGTCCATGTTCTTCCATGCAAGGCTTTTGCATGTCTCGCGGGAACGGGGTTCCCAGAGATGGGCGCTATCTATGTTTGTGGGTTCCAACAACTCTTGGTACTTCTCCATTTCTTTCTCAGCCAAATCTGCTGCCTCCTGCAGTCCTCTACTCATGAGATTCCCATGTCTTTCATGGAGTTGCTCAAGTTTTGCTTCAAATCGACCACACATTTGGCTTGATTGCTCTGTTGTACACTTGTAATTGAGTTCCTTGGCGGGGTACTAAGTGAAAAAGTCAAACCATGCTTTTGCTCCAATTTTGTCCAGGTAAGTTCCTCTTCGCCAAGAATTCTTCTCCTCTCAATTTTCACGTTCCATGGCTTCGCCTGTGAAACTTGCAAAACTGCATCCTTCACATCAAGACATCCTAGCATCTGGGAAAATGTTCCTTCTCCCTCTCTTGCTTCTTCCTCCTCACTGCAAGAATATCGTGGGTAGAAGCTTCAGTACATGTCCTGAAGTCGCTGGTTGGAAAACGTCATCTCTCCTTCCTTCAGCGAAAGCATATTCTCTTGCAACTAGCCTTGATCTTCTCTTCCATCTCTTGCTTGTCGTTCCAGCTTTATGATGGTAAGGCTTCTTTCTCCAGTCATGTACATTGCATGTTGTCAGGTAACTGAATCCTTTGGCGCTACCCTCCTGCATCTTCTGGGGTCTTTTCTCCTCCACTTCATCAGCTGCTCCTACTCTGTCTATCCATTCTTCTGGTTCTCCTTCTGCTTCATATTCTCCATCGCACCGCAAGCATTCAGAGCCATTCACTTCATCTTCTTCTGACTCATCTCCTTCTCCTGCCCAGTCTTCTTCATCAACTTCTTCTGCAGCTGGGGATAGTTCATCCACATGATAAAGATCTTCACCCGCAACTTTCACCAAATTGATCTTGGCTTTCTTACTTGAACCCTCTCGTGGCCTGAGTTTCTTCACAGGACTTTCTTGTTCAAGCAAGTCATACGCTTCCCTTGGTCTCGATGGCGGGACAACTCAAATCCAACTTGAATTTGACAATTGGCGACAATGTTCAACGCTCAACCTTGAGGGAACAAGTGCTGCAATTGGATCGTTCTCACCAAAATGGGCTACTTCCATGGTGGCTAGTAGCAGTACAGACTATCAAGGACCTATGCCAATGGACATTGATCGAGTCCAAGATGCCAAAGTAAAAGGTAGGACGGGCAAGAATGACCATCAGAAAGGCAAAGGTGAAGAGGCAAAGGGTAAAGGAAAGAAAGGGAATGGAGATCAGAAAGGAAAGGAAGGTGATCGCAAGGGTAAAGGTAAAGGCGAAGACCAGAAAGCAAAGGTGTGGCGATGCGTTACACGGGAAGCCAGCACATCTCGCTAAAGACTGTTGGAGGAAAAATATTTGACAGGTAGCAAGCGATCCAGCCCATTCATCTTCGGGAAGGGCATCAGTGACTACCCATACAGTTGGTGAACAACATGCCAATGTCAGCCGACAGGGTAGCTCAGCAGAGACCAAACCAGTGGTCAGAAGGATTCGAATAGTGGGCCAGTCATGGTTGACTTGCGAGAAAGGCAAGATGAGCTGGAAGATCATGGAATTCGAGTAATTCGCTTCTACATTGGAGATGACGATGATGATGATGATGATGATGAGCCAGGGATCCAGGGAATTGAAGAAATTGACATTTCAGATGATGACCCCATGGTGAGGAGACTTAGGGAAGAGAATGAGGATGTGGCCATCACTATTGACAGTGGAGCTGATGTAGCGTTATTCCCTTGGAGTATGGCAGATCATGGGGAAGGAGTGGGAATTTAGCGCAAAAACCAAGCCCAAGCTACAAGATGCACAGGGGAATCGTATCCCCACCGGGGCGCGAAAAGTGATGAAATTTCCTTGCAATGTGATCTTCAGCTCGGAGGTTAGTCAGCCCATACTTTGCTATGGAAGATTGATGGAACATGGTTGGGGAATCAACAACAGAGAGCAAATGCTGGAGAATGACGACTTGAATGCACCACTCTTGCAAAGTCGCTCTTTGACAGTTCAAGGCCACATCAGAATCATTAGAGATGAAGATGAAAGCTGCTTGATGCAATGCACTTCCCCGCATCAATGAAGCTAACAATCCATAAAGCTTGATGCACCTGCTCTTTTCCTCTAAAGTCTAAGTCCCATTCAAGCTACCACTTGCTTTTCATGAACTCTTGATTTCTTCTTCTTGTGACTTATAGTCAAAGATGTCGGGCTTTGCTATGAACTTCGACCAATCAGTTGCTGACGACTTCTTGTCTTCAACTGCTTTCTTCACTGCCTCAGCTGCTGATGCTGTTGCCAGCGTACTCTGTGCTATAGTTTGTTGGGCTTCTCTGATCTCCTCATCTCCACTGCGCACTAATGTCCTTCTGACACAGCGTACGGGGTACAGAGTGTCGCTCACAACAATTCTTCGCCAGTCCAGCTGCTTGGTTTCCAAAGGCCCCAAATAGCACCCGGGATCCCAGTGACCTAGGTGCTTTTTTCTCTGGAGCTCAAAGGGGGTTGCCCTTATCCTTGCTCCGCTACCATACGAACCTTTTCTCGATCCGAAAAGGGCTTCAGTGCAATCTCATGATGCAAACTGTTATGCTAATAATGCTATGTACTGTGACTGATCTCTATTGAAAATGCTTCACACATACGTGTATTATATATATTTGCATAGCGCTAGTTGTCCATGATATGTATGTGTGTGTATTGCATCGGAACATTGGACCATTTGACTCATTGCCAGCCGTATCGATTTTGAGGTCTATGTTTATGTACATGAACTTGCCATACATTAATTTGCTTTTTCAAGCAATATTGAAACCACACCTGTTGAATTCCGCAGAGTTAATAGTTAGGCAGCATGGGTACAGTACCATCTTCGGAATCTCCGCTGGCGGAAAGTCGGAAAAGCGTCCGAAAGAACATCGGGGCACGTCGGCGTCCGAAGAACAACATCCTGCACCTGCAGTGAGCATATCAGAGACGAGACCAACGTGGATGTGGATTGGCGAGGGGTCATGAAGGAAGGGAGAAGTTGATGGACTTGGCAAGCTGGGGCGCCAAGAAGGAGTCATGGGGCTTGATTTTGTAGATGAGGAGGAGGAGGATGGATAAAGGTAAGGGAGAGAGAGAGAGAGGGAAAGCTCAGGACAAGGATAGATCACCCGGCAGACATGACCGATGCAAGCAAGCACAGAAATGATTCTTTGCAGCAAGGAGATCTTCTTGGCAACTCAAGAGTCTGTTTCGTGAATGGACTGGTCATGGTACAAGAGGGCTCATTTGTAAGCCATACTCATCTTGTGTACTACTGCAAAGGAAAAAATAGAAAACCATGTGCTGTGCGCATTCCATCTCATCCTTTGTCAGCCATACGTACCAATTAAAATGTTCAATCAAACCTGTGATCAAATCATATAACATCTCTTTGGTGCATGCAACAAAGAGTTTGGCAGCATTAAAAGCGCCTGAAAGAACA